GGGGTAATCAAAGATAGTGATTGGGGTAATCAAAGATAGTACAAACTATCATTGGGGTAATCAAACAGGCTCGAAATCGGAGGTGGTGTTTTGGTCGAATCGAAAGCGGAAGTAGAATTTTGCATGGAAGAAAACTGTAAACTGAAGACTGGAGAGTTCCAAAATGTAATGAAAAGCGGCTCTTTGAAAGGACTTGAAGCAACACGAAGAAGAGGTGTTTATTGTTTGTTTACAAACAAGAGAATTTTGTAGAATCCAATGGTCAGGTAGTCTTTAAAAAAAGTAACATTGCAAACGCAGAGCGAGGGTGATATTGCCTAACCTTACTAGATCTAGATCTATATCTACATCTAGATTAGATTAGATTCTAGACCTACGATTCATCATCCTCGGTGTCAGCTAGACTCTAGATGATCTAGATCTAGATCTAGATTCTTATCTAGATCTAGTTCTAGACTCTAGCCGAGCAGTAGGCCCTATATTATAACTTAGAAGACAAGATAGTCATTATTGTGCATGACCAGTCCCATCTACTGGTCTTCTGAATCTCACCTTTCCTCACCTCTTGTTTCCCATTATCATTATTATCATAATGTACCAAATAATTTTCCTTTCCCATATTCCAACTTTACTTCTGTACTGTAAGAGTAAGGGCGCTTCGTTTTCCTTCATATCTCGTCGGATGGAACGCTAGCAGGCCAAAATATTAGATAATATAACGTCACTGTGACTGTTGTCAATGTTCAAATCAGATGTTCTGTACAAGAAGCACACGATGGTTTCAACAGCTTGATTGAATACTCTCTTAACTGTTTTATTCGGAATCAAGGTTTGGATTTTACTTTCCCTAATAATGGAAGTGGAAGTGCGCCTATATTTGCAGCGCTGCGTTGCGATAGCGCCAGTGCTAAATAAAATGCTGCGTTGCGATTAGCGCCTGTGCTAAATAAAACGCTGTATAAAGCTTTTAAATCTACCTTTCGTCGTTGGAATTTCTGATGGCTGAATGGACCGCGCGTCTGTACTTGAAGTCAAACCATTATCAGGCAACGATCTCGCGCAGGTCGGGTCGGCCCTGTGCTAATATAATTATTTCTTATTAAATACGCACACCCGGTGCGAATAATATTGATTCTTATGCGTATACCCGGTGTGAAGAATATTAATTCTTATGCGCACACCCGGCACGCGAATAACCACTTCCTTATAAGAGCGTGGGAACGAATCTCAGTCCTGGAAGGTTGTTTTTTTTTCTCCTCTTCCCGACTAACAACAATTTTTTCCAATAACTATAACTTGTTGCTTTGTAGGTTTTTTTAAATATCGTGATGAAGCATGCACATTCTGGTTTTGTCCCCAAGAGGAGCTTTTCTAGATCTACAAAGTAGGCCAATACTTTTCCTTTAACCAATCTGTGCCATGCTTGGAAGCACACTGAACATTATTAGAGAATGTAAACAGCTTGTCACGTTCTCTAGGCCTAACGTTAGAGAATATACACACTACCCACTGCTAATTAAAACGCCGAAGCCTAGATCAGATGACGTCATGTGTGATGGCAAAATATAAAGTGAACACAGATAATTATATATGTGTGTTGTATGACGACACTGCGGACAGGAAATTATAGTGCTTACCGAGTTGCACCGTCTTGTTATTGTTTTATCTAAGCGTCTTTTGACTTACTTGCTCAAACTCAAACTCAAATGATTATGAGAGAGATGAACAAGACTTCTTTTGTGTTCAAACAGTGTCAGAAACAATTGTTAGATCTAGATCTAGATCTACCCAATATTGGTCGGAGTAAGAAAACGTCATAAAAAAGGGAGTCAAATCCTAGGAGGTTTATTAAGAAACTGAGAAAGCTTCCGCAATTCAGGCAGAACTACAAAAAAAAAAAAAATATTATGAGGCCTATCATGTAGAAACGATGGCTACTACTAGTATTGGCGTTTCAAATAGCAAGGGAGCTATTCTCAAAACGCTGCGTTTCAAATAGCATGGTAGCTAATCAGAATGCGGCGTTTCAAATAGAACGGGAGCTATTCAGAACACGGTGTTGCAAATAGCGCCTGCCTTGTACAATTCGTCCAACACGACTACAGGGATGCATTATTATTATTTTCTGTCAATTTGGTCAGATCAAGTTGGAGTCGAACTTTCATGTTAGAAATTATATAAACAATCTGAGTCTGAGAAGACTTTATATGTATCGAAAACGCTCTCTCGAGAGAGGTAATAGTATTGTAACTCTCTTTGCACAGCACCAGTTGTTGTATTTCAAGGACACAAATGATCGGGAAACAACTAGAACAGTAATTTATTTGTTGTTTAATATCACTAAGAAGAGACAAGGACAGTTTGAATCTGCCATACATTGTAAAAGATCGTGACATCAACTCATTATAAAGAAATTGTAAAGCAAGACTGTGTCTCACCACAATACGTTCACTTCTAAAGTTGGACAAAGAAATTTACTCTGTATGTCATTATTTGTTGTAATTCTGTAATTTTAATATAAGGATGTCGACCAGTGACAACGTGCTAGACTGACTATGACACTAAAACCATCATTGCGACTGGACAACAAACTACATGATGAGTTGGATTGGTGAACGTCTTGTTGCTTTTAATCATTAAATAATTTTTCTAGTTTTTGCTTGTTGACTTTCATGTTTTTTTTCTTCCTTATCACCCC